GGCAATTATACTTTATAAAGTGTTCCCCCTGTATGTTTCCAGTACCCACCTGACACCATGCACAGTTATTACAATATTATTGACTATATTTGCTATGTTGTATTTTACATCCTGTTACTATTTTTTAACTTTTTAAAATTTTAATTAATTAATTAATTAATTTTTGTTACAGATGTTTCTTCTTTTTCCCCCATTGACACCCTCCTCCTGTACCCCCCACCCCCCGCCAGGCACCAGCATTGTTGTCTGTGTTCATTGGTTATGCTTATATGCACAAGTTCTTTGGTTTATCTCTTCCCTACTCCCAACCCCCTCCTCTGAAGTTTGTCAGTCTGCACCCTACTTCCATGTCTCTGGGTCTATTCCTTTCATCACTTTATTTTGTTCATTATATTCTACAAATAAGTGAGATTATGTGATACTTGTCTTTCTCTGACTGACTTATTTCACTTAACATAATACTCTCCAGGTCCCTCCACGTCGTCTCAAAGGATAAGAGATCTTTCTTTCTTTTTTTTTTTTATTATCCTCACCCGAGGACATTTTTCCATTTTTTGTTCAGGTAGAGTAGGAGGGGGAGATAGGAACAGAGAGAGAGAGAAACATCGACGTGAAGGGACACATCGAGTGGCTGCCACCCGCACGACTGACCAGAGCCGGGGACAAACTGCAACCGAGGTACATGCCCTTAGTGGGAACCGAACCCGGGTCTCTCAGGACCGCAGGCCAACGCTCTAACCGCTGAGCCAAACCGGCCAGGGCGAGATTTTTCTTTCTTACAGCTGCATAGTACTCTATTGTGTATATGTGCCACAGCTTTTTTATCCACTCATCCATTGATGGACACTTGGGCTGTTTCCAGATCGTAGCAATTGTAAATAGTGCTGCTATGAACATGGGGGTACATATATTCTTTCTGATTGGTGTTTCAGGCTTCTTAGGTTATAATCCTAGAAGTGGGATCACTGGGTCAAATGGCAGTTCAATTTTAATTTTTTGAGGAAACACCATATTGTTTTCCATAGTGGCTGCACCAGTCTGCATTCCCACCAGCAGTGTACTAGAGTCCCCTTTTCTCCACACCCTTGCCAGCACTTGTTTGATGATTTGTTGATGGCAGCCCCGATTTGTACTTCTTAATTCCTTCACCTTTTTCACCCAGTTCCCCAAACCTCCTCCCCTCTGTCAACCATCACTCTGTTCTTTGTATCTATGAGTCTGTTTCTGTTTTGTTTGTTCATTTATTTTGTTCTTTAGATTCCACATATAAGTGAAATCATATGCTATTTGTCTTTCTCTACTATGGTGTACTTTTTGAGCCCACAACCAGGTCATGTGCCCTGACCATGGATCGAACCAGTGACCTCTTGGTACGTGGGTCAATGCTCAACCACTGAGCCACATTGGCCAGGCTACTATGGTGTACTTTTTGAAGGTACTATCCAGTAGTAAAATGAATTCATGGTCTTTCTGCATATTTATTGTTTTCACCACACTCTCCCATTCTGTCTAATGTGTTTCAACACAAAAGCCCTAGCATTTAACCTCAACAATCATTTCTTCCTTGATACTCTTTGGTTTCCATACTTTTTTTTTTTTTTTTAATCCTCACCCAAGGACATTTTTTCCATTTTTTGTTCAGATAGAGCGGGAGGGGGAGAGAGGAAGAGAGAGAGAGAGAAACATCGACGTGAAGGGACACATCGAGTGGCTGCCACCCGCACAACCGACCAGGGCCGGGGACAAACTGCAACCGAGGTACATGCCCTTAGCGGGAACCGAACCCGGGTCTCTCTGTACCACAGGCCGACGCTCCAACCACTGAGCCAAACCGGCTAGGGCTCCATACATTTTTTTTTAATATATTGTCTTCTTTTCTTCCTGCCTCTCAGTTTCTAACTATTTTGGTAGACAATCCCTCTCTTCTCTTTCTCCTCTCAACCATGTTTTACTCTCTTTTGCCTGATAGTCTTATTTTTTTCTCATGGCCTCAACTGTCACTCGTATGTGGATAACTCCTAAATCTGAACTCCTTCCCTTAACTCTCTTTGGAATTCCAATCCAGAGTTCGACTCCATAGTGGCTAGTGGGATCAGAACACAAGACTTCTTCCCAAACTGGTACTAAAATGTGCTTTTAGGTATCTTTTTAGCCCTTTTCCCCTTCCCTTGTTTTTAAATTTTTCTTTTTTCCTTTATTGATTTTAGAGAGAGGAAGTGAGAGGGAGAGAGAGATAGAAACATCTGTGAAAGACAACATCAACTGGCCACCTCCTGCATGCCCCCTACCTGGGACCTGGCCCACAACCTGGGCATGTGTGCTGACTGGGAATCGAACTGGCGACCTCCTGGTGCATGGGTTGACACTCAACCAGTGGGCCACACTGGTTGGACCCTTCCCTTGTTTGTTGATTTGTTTATTTATTTATTTAATCCTCACTCAAGGACATTTTTGCATTTATCTTCAGATAGAGCAGGAGAGAGAGAGGGAGGAAGAGAGAGACAAACAACATCGATGTCAGAGTTAGGGGACAAACTGCAACCGAGGCACGTGCCCTTAGCGGGAACCGAACCTGGCCCTCTCTGGTCTGCAGGACAACACTCTAATTGCTGAGCCAAACCGGCCAGGGCCCTTCCCTTATTTTTAAACTCTTTCTTGATTGAACTGTGCTTCTGTCCATTTTGGTTCAGTTTTCATATCATCCCAGCTTCCTTTTAACCTGAATAAAATAAGCAAACAAATTTGACTAACTCCAAGTTGCCCCCTACAGGTGTCATTTTATACCAAAAGCTCTCCTTCATCTCCACCTCTGTTTTCACATCTTCACAAAATTTCTTTTTCAGGGAATTCAAAGGAAACACTTAAAAAGGAAAAAACAACCACTATTTTGTTTTTCTTTAAAGTAGTTAACGGGGCCTAATACCAAATATTTCCATTTTAAATGTAAGCCTATTTGAAAAGCTGTGTGTCTTTGTATGGGGGCAGGAGGTAGGGTGGTGGAGTGATGAGGAGACTATTGAGAAACCTCAGGTCTTCAACCTGAGACCTTAAAATAGCAAACACTCGCCCTGGCCGGTTTGGCTCAGCGGTTAGAGCGTCGGCCTGCGGTCCGGAGAGACCCGGGTTCGGTTCCCGCTAAGGGCACGTACTTCGGTTGCAGTTTGTCCCTGGCCCTGGTTGGTCGTACGGGTGGCAGCCACTCGATGTGTCCCTTCACGTCGATGTTTCTCTCTCTCTCCCTTCCTCTCTCTCCCTCCCACTCTATCTGTACAAAGAATGGAAAAATGTCCTCGGGTGAGGATAAAAAAATAAAAATAAAAAAAAATAGCAAACACTCAACTCTGAGAGGGGTTGGGTTGGACTAATTCACCCCTTTCTTCCCCAAATCATATTCAGTTTCTTTTGGTATTTATCCTGAGAATGGTGTAAGGGAATGAAAAGGACAGCATTTAAGCAAGAACTAAGAAAAATTAGACAAAATTTCAAAAATGCATTTGTAGCCTGCTCTTTTCTATCCCACAGTGACCAAGTTTTATTTCTATTTTCTTTAAATCCTTTAAATTTTTACAATTAAAAAAAAAATCCTCACCCAAAGACATGCTGAGAGAGAGAGAGAGAGAGAGAGAGAGAGAGAGAAACATTTTGACCGCCCTCCCGGGATCCAGCCAGAAACCCAGGTATGTACTCTGATGGGAATCCTACCGGCAACCTTGCAGTGCACTAAAGGACGCTCAACCAACTGAGCCACTCCAGCTGGGTAAAAGTGTGCTTTTAAAAGTTGGTCAAGCCCGGTGGTGTGGCTCAGTGGTTGAGCATCAACCCATGCACCAAGAGGTCGCAGGTTTGATTCTCGGTCAGGGCACATGCCCAGGTTGTGGGCTCAAATCCCCAGTGGAGGGCATGCAGGAGGTGGCCAATTGATGTTCACTCTCATCGATGTTTCTATCTCTCTCTCCCTCTCCCTTTCACTCTATCTAAAATCAATCAATCAATAAAATAAAATAAAATAAAATAAAATAAAATAAAAGTTGGTCAAGCATGGCCAGAGTGGCTCAGTTGGTTGAGCATTGTTCTGTGCACCAAAATGTTGTGGGTTCAATTCCAGGTCCGGGCACAAAAGGTGATGTTTCTCTCTCTCTAAGTATGTCCAGGGGTGAGGATTAAAAAAAGAAAAAGAAAAAAAAAAAAGCACATTTTTACCTGCTGATTGAAACCAATCAAAGGGAAAGTATAATGGAGAGGGATGGCACTACCATTTCTATGCGAATTTAATTTTTATTAGGCCAACATTGTCTTTCCTGCAAGGTCTTAGTGTTTATTACAGCAACAACTACCTCAATAACAATTCCTCGAGTAGTTTTAATTAACAGTGCCTAACTTACATGCTTCACCCAAATGCTTTCAAAATCGGTCAGTCTTTCATGGTGGAAGTTAAAATATCATCTTTAACCCGCCTCTGGTTGTGCATCAGAAGCCTGACTCCAGCACGGCAGTGCCATGAAGGCATGCTTTTTATGTGTTGTGCATGCAAGTTTCTGTGCACCTTGCCTACAAAGCAGGAGTTGTGCGTGTCGTGTGTCGAATAGCCAGTCTTGCAACTTGGGCACGCAGGAAGGATGTTTTCTTTCTCCCTTTAACATTAAAAACATAAAGAAAAAAACCCCCAAATAAATCCAACAGGCATCAAAACCGCCTGATAGCCTAGGGAAAGCGCGCCAATCACACAAAGAAAAGTAGGGGGGCTACTGGGATTCAAAATAATTTCCCCAGACGAACAACCTTCTGGACCTATCCGAGTTAACTGCGCGCTCGGTCGTAGCTAATAGACACAGCGTTTCTGGTTCAGATCCGCCCTCAAGACTGATAGACATTTATGCAGCCCAATAGAATAGTGGTATGTCGAAGAATTAACCAATACACTGGGGAGGTGGGTGGAGTGTAGGCCAGGGGGTTGGCGGTGTCGTGTCATGGAGGCTCAGTATCTCAGCAGCCATTGAAGGGGAAGGAACTGCGTGCGTGCGTGTGTGTGTGCGTGCGTGTGTGTATGTGTGTGTGAGAGAGAGAGAGAGAGAGAGAGAGAGTGTGTGTGTACGCGCGCGCGCGTGTGAGTGCGCGCGCGAGTGTGTGGACAAGGAGGTGTTGGCAGCCGAGTTAGAGTCCCAACTCCTTGGACTCCATTTGCTATTCTCTTCTTTCTTCCCCACACCTATCTGGTGGTGGTGGGCGTTTATATTTGCGTTTCTTTTCATTCATTTCCAAATCTTTTACAATTTGGGACTTGGGGGTAGTGGGAAAGGCAGGACAGGGTAACGGAGGAGAGTAGTAGCACCAGAGCAGGAGGCGGACATGGAGATGAGGAACAGGATTAACCTGGAGTTAAGGAACAGAGCCCCGGAGGAGGTGAGATGACTCAGCCCCCTCCCCTTCCCCATCAGCACACTATTCGGAGGATCGGGTTTCGGGGTTGGGGGGGCTAGGTGTGTGTGTGGGGAGGAGTAACGAATTAACCCCCACCTGGGGTTGGGGGGAAATATTTAATTTGAAGTTTTAAACCATTAAAATATTTTACTTAAAATGGCGAAGGGTCTAAGTTTCTAAGGGTTTTTTTGGTGTGTGCATGGGGGCTTAGTCGTTTTCTCCTTTCCGGCGTCCTGGCCTTGTGGGGGCGGGAAGGAAGCAGGGGTTGGGGGCCGCTCGACTCCCCGAGTTCCTCCTGGGGGCAGGCGACGTGGGCGCGACCCCCCAGCCCCACTCGACCCCGCCGCAGCCATCGTCGCCTGAGAAGTTAGTCCAACTTTTCTTCAGTGCTGCCAACTCTTTTTTCGGGGGACGGGGAGGGGCGGCCCCGGCCTAGAGGCCCCTGGGCGTCGGAGGACGTCGCGCCGGGCACGGTCTGAGGTCGCTCGCGCGGTGGGCGACCACCTGCTGCCAGCGGCGCCCACTCCCAGGGGCAGCGGCGCGCGCCGATCGCGCCAGGCATAATCTGGGTCAGCGGCCGGCTCTCCGGCCGCGGGTAAGTTTTGGGGAATTGAGGAGTAATCCCTCGTCAACCCCCCGCGGTATTCGCCGTGTCTTGTCGTGGTGGCCGCAACTCCGAATGTGATCCCTGGAGGAGGTTTCACAAAACTCAACAAATGGGTCGTAGGGCTTTTGTGCTTTAAAGATGGGTTCGGCGAAACTAAATGATGCGCGCTCGCTGCTGTCGCCTTAAAGAGACGGGGTTGGGAGGGGCCACGCGAGGCGGGGTTTCGGTCAACTTTTGTGGGGGTCGGGCGGGAGGCGTTTCCGCCTCCTTTCCGCTGGCACCTCTTCGGTTTCACCTAGTCCTTCCCGCCCCCGGCGGACGCGCCAGGGGAACGCGGGCTGGGAAGGCGACCCCATTTTTCCGTGGGGAGTCCCCGCCCCGTGTGGGGTTTCCCGTCGGTCAGAGCGGCAGGTCACCAAAACGGGGCCGGAGACCAGCGAGGAACCTCCCACTTACGATCGCAGAGGAAAGTGTCAAGAGACTTGTAAACTGTGGCCTCTGAGATAAATCCAAGAATTGGGATATAGGGATATAATATTTTCCGGGGAGTGGAGGCGGTGCCTGTGCATACCAGCATAAAGGATGGGTAGGGGCTGCCCGTCAGCGGCGTGCAGAGTGGGAACCCAAGATCTGTATGTACTTAAAAAAAAAGTTTATTTCTCTGAAATTGGCAGGTGGCAGGGAGGAGTAAGCAGCCGCTATTATCTCAGAGAAAACGGAAAGTTTTGTAGAACGTAACCTTTAGGGGCTTCAGAGAACACAAAGTCAAACTTGAAAAGCTGTCTCTTAGAAGAACACATTTAGAATGCTTTTTTATGTTTTGGGATGGAAAAGTGGATTTACAAACCCTCCCGCCCCCCATGCTTTTACCTACACTATCGCAGTAATTTCCTTTCCAGTTTTAGCGAGTGCCAGATGTTACCTTTTTGCAGCCTCTCCTTCCTCCCCTGTGGTGTAATAATGGTCTCTTGTATTTGCATAGCTCTTTTACAAAGCACTCTTCTTCTTTGCTATTCACTTACCTCCTTCAGACTAACTGGTAAAGTAGCTCCTAATAGTGGAGTCTCAGGACCATACAGTTATTTTATTTAGTTATTTATTTTTTAATCCTCACCCGAGGATACTTTTTTCCATTTATCTTTAGATACAGTGGGCGAGAGAGAGAAACATCCACTGAGAGAGACACATGGATTGGTTGCCTCCTGCACGACCCCCACTGGACTGGGGCCTAACCACAAACTAGGTGCGAGGTAGAGGTATGTGCCCTTGACTAGAATCGAACCCACGACTCTGGGGTGCTCTACTGCTGAGCCAAAGGCCAGGGTAGGACCGTGCAGTTATTCATTCAAGTGGAAGAACTGGGTTTATGACACCAAATCTAGTGACCCTTCTCTGCTCAGCTAGACTAGGAGTCAGAAGACAGAGTGGAGGCACAGCTCTACCACATTCTGACACCAAGCAAGTCATTCTCACCCTCTGGGCTGTGGCTTCCTTATCTCTAAACAGATCATGATGCCTTCTCTGCTCACTGAAGTTATTATGTTGAAGTCATTTTCAAATAGAGAAGGTGGCATTTTTTGTTGCCAATTTTTAGCTCTCAAAATACTTCAAACATATTGGGAATGGAGAGTCAGGGTCTCCTGCCGCCTCCTTAAGATTAAATACATTTAGGCCCACATCAGAAAGTTTTGTTCTACAACTTTGACATAATAGAGAATCCAGCCACCACCCACCCCCTCCCAAGAATGGGGAGAAGGTCACAAAAATGCTACCAATATGGCAGGGAGAAAAACATTTTGTCAAGAATGTATCTTTCTGGGTGATATTATTTGGCCTTGATATTAAAACAAATAACATCCGAAAGCTGGCTTGACTCAGGAAGAGCTTTCTAACATTTCTTCATGGAGGGTAACAAGGTATTTTTGAGTTGTGGTATTTATCAACCAAAGATAAAGGGGTTTAAACTGAATAATTTCCTTTCTTCTCTCTACTTTTTTTTTTTTTTTTCTTTTATCCTCACCCGAGGACATTTTTCCATTTTTTTGGTACAGCTAGAGTGGGAGGGAGAGAGAGGAAGGGAGAGAGAGAGAGAAACATCGACGTGAAGGGACACATCGAGTGGCTGCCACCCGCACGACCAACCAGGGCCGGGAACAAACTGCAACCGAGGTACGTGCCCTTAGCGGGAACCGAACCCGCGTCTCTCCGGACCGCAGGCCGACGCTCTAACCGCTGAGCCAAACTGGCCAGGGCTCTTCTCTCTACTTTTTTAAGGCAGCTCACTTGCATCCTTTCCCAGTAGCCTTGGTATCCTCTCATTGCATGAATATATGCCCTGATGTTGAGAGTTCTTTTCATCAGAGTCAGAAACAAGTTTCACATGGGACCTTTTTCAGTTTTTTGTGTTTTTTTTTTTAATACATCAGTGATTTAAAGCAGGCATTAAACTTCTTGGTCAAATTTAAATTTATTTATTATTATTTTTTTATCCTCACCCAGGACACTTTTCAATATTTTGTTCAGATAGAGTGGGAGGGAGGGGGAGAGAGAGAGAGAGAGAGAGAGAAACAGAGAGAAACATCGATGTGAAAGAGATACATCGAGTGGTTGCCACCCACACGACCCAACCAGGGCTGGGGACAAACTGTAACTGAGGTGCGTGCCCTTAGTGGGAACTGAACACGGGTCTCTGGACCGTAGGCCGACGCTCTAACGAGCGTGATGAGCCAAACCGGCCAGGGCTTAGTCAAGTTTAAATTTAAAGTTTAACATAATGATGACTGCTAGACTGTATTTCAATTTTTTTTGAGAATGAAAGGATCTGTAAGGTGATTGGTGGTTTTAATATTCACATTTCCAGAGTGTCAGACCCCAGGTCCTTTGCTAAACAAACTGCAAACTAAAGAGTCATTCTTGTTCTCTCTTACAGGTGACACAGTTAGTCCTTGATAATTGCCGTTGTGACAATGGGGAAATTGAAGGCCTGAATGATACTTTTAAAAAACTAGAACTTCTGAGTATGATTAACGTGGACCTAAGGTCACTGGCCCGGCTTCCCAACTTAAATAAACTTCGAAAGGTAGGTTGATATTATGTGAGAAAGAATCATGATTTGAATGCCAAAGGTTATTATTTCTCTTTATTGGCCAAGTGGAATGACCATTCTGCCTTTTAATTAGAAGGTTCTAAGTTTCTAGAGGTAAGCAAAGGGGCTATGTAAGATTTTGGAATCAGTTCTAATATTGCTTTTAGAAATTTAAATTTAATAATGAAATTGTGCCCTGGCTGGTTTGGCTGAACAGTTGGAGCGTCTACCTGTGGACCCAGGAGTCTCAGATTCTATTCCCCGTCAAGGGCACGTACCTGGGTTGCAGGTTTGATCCCTGGCCCCGGTGGGGGGATCGTGTGGGAGGCAACCAATCAGTGTGTCTCTCCTACATGATATTTCTCTCTCTCTCTCTCTCTCTCTCTCTCTCTCTCTCTCTCTCTCTCTCCCCCCTTCCACTCTGTCTAGAAAGCAATGGAAAAATATCTTCGGGTGAGGATTAAAAAAAAAATGAAATTGCTTTATGGCATGAATTTGAACTTAATATTTACTAAATATTTTTCTCTGAAACATAAAATCCAACTGTTAAACAATTGGAACTAAACCTATATGAGGTGTCATTATACAGACAGTCCCCAGCTTATGGTGGATTGACTTACAACTTTTTGACTTCATGATGGTGCGAAAAGCAATATGCATTTAGTAGAAACTGCACTACAACTTTTGAATTTTAATCTGTTGCTGGGCTAGCAATATGTGGTATAATACTCTCGTGATGCTGACAGTGGCAATGAGCCACAGCTCCTAGTTAGACACCAGATAATGAGGGTAAATAACTGATATTCTACAGTGTATTTATTAATTGTATTAGATGATTTTGCCCAACTGTAGACTAATGTAAATGTTCGGAGCATGTGATAGGCTAGGCTAAGCTATGATGAGGTTAGGCGTATTAAATGCATTTTTGACTTGTGATATTTTCAGTTTACAGTGGTGGGTTTAATGGATGTAACCCCATTGTAAGTTGAGCATCCATCTGTACAGGGGTTCTAATATACTATTTGGTGGTTGTAGGTGGAGTGTGGAAATTAATTACTTGTGACAATCTTTTTTTTTTTTTTATCCTCACCCGAGGACTTTTTTGCGTTTATCTTCTGATAGAGTAGGAGGGAGAGAGGAAGGGAGAGAGAGAGAAACATCGATGTGAGAGAGACACATCAAGTGGTTGCCACCCACACGACCCCAACTGGGTCTGGGGACAAACGGCAACCGAGGTATGTGCCCCTAGCTGGAACCGAACCCCAGGACTCTGGTCCACAGGCCGACGCTCTAACCGCTGAGCCAAACCAGCCAGGGCCACTTGTGACAATCTTGAAGCCAGAGAGAATCACAAATGTTTTTCTTCTTCAAATTGATATATTTTTGAAATCTTTGATCTGTCCTAAGTCTACCATTCTTTGTGTGTCCCCCCCCCCCCCGTGTTGAATATATATAGTTGGAACTTGCTAACAACAGAATTTCTGGAGGGTTGGAAGTCCTGGCAGAGAAATGTCCTAATCTTACTCACCTCAATCTGAGTGGAAACAAAATCAAAGATCTCAGTGCACTAGAAGCTCTGGTAAGTGGAAAGGTTTGTTTGGGCTTGCTTTTTTTTGGTTGAATTTTCCGATATGTGTTTGTGTGTGTGTGTGCAGAAACAGAAAAATATTGCTCATTTATTTAAACAAATACTTCTGTTTTATTCATCAGTAAAATAAAAGAATATAAATAAGAAGGTTAAAAGGCATATAATGGATACCATGCTGGAAAGCAAAAAGTAAAAGGAGATAGGAAGGTACACTAAAGTTTTGATTTAATCAGGCCCTCAAATAAGATACCAATATTAGAAGACTATTGGAAATACTGAAAAATTTTGGATGGTTTTTCATTACTAAAAAAAATACATTTTATATCCATAGTACTTTGAATAACAATTTTCATTGATATTATCTGTCAGAATAAAAATGGAAATTCATACATATCAGAAATTTTTATCTCTGCTTATTGTGAAAAATATTGATAAATATTTATATATTTAGACAAATATTTTAATATCAGAGGAGAAGTTACTCTATTGATTTCTATTTCACTCTTTTGAAACTTCTGAATTTCTTATATGTTGTGATCTAGATCAGTGATTTTCAACCTTTTTCATCTCATGGCACACATAAACTAATTACTAATATTCTGCTGCACACCAAAAAATACATTTTTTGCCACTCTGACAAAAAAAAAAATAGGTATAATTTTTATTGATTTACAAAATAGTAATAATAATAATAATAATAGTAATTACCTAGCCTTTTTGCTCCAGAGTGACTTTTTAAAAAACCAGGTGCCTATATTTGTATATAAGGATTTCTGGTACTGAGAATTAACCAGTGTAACACAACCTTATTATGTGGCATGACCATAAGAGGCAACTCTGTTCTATGACCTACATATTTATTGTTCAAGAAAGGGCATCGATACCAGATGGCTACCAGTTGTGCTGGCTGTTATCATTTTTTTTTTATCCTCACCCAAGGACATTTTTCCATTTTTTGTTCAGATAGAGTGGGAGGGAGAGAGAGAAACATTGACATGAAAGGGACACATTGAATGGTTGCCACCTGCACAACCCAACCAGGGCCGGGGACAAACTGCAACCGAGGTACATGCCCTTAGCGGGAACTGAACCTGGGTCTCTCTCGACTGCAGGCCGACACTCTAATCGCTGAGCCAAACCGGCCAGGGCTATTTTTTAAATTTGACACTAAGGGAAAAGAGGTCAGTGTCTCTAAGTAAGTGGTTAGGTATTGCATGTTTTAAAAATCATTGTTGCACACATGTTGAAAATTGCTGATCTAGATGGTTAAGGCTTTCTTTTCCTTTTGATTAAAACATTCAGATAATTTTTTAAATTGGTGAGAAATTTATTTTATTATCAACTTTAGGAGTTTGATATCTGATCTGAAAATCTGTAGTATTTTCTCAAATTCTATTTTCCTTTCTTCTTGATTATTTTTTTAGTTATTTCATTATTTGCTCATTTGTTTTCCTAGTATGAGGCAAGGAAAAGAAGATAAAGTAAAACTCTGAAAATTGTTGCTCTAATTTTTAAAAAGTTTGTAAAGAAGTTGAAATTGTTGAAAATAAGTTTGACTGTGGATTTATTGTTGTTGCCTATTTATGAATAGATTCAGTGAACAAATAAATTGAGTGCCTACTATAAGTAAGTTACTAAGCCAGGTGCTGGGACATAGCAGCTGAACACAACAAAGTTTCCACTCCTGTGGAGTTAAGCATGCCAGTGTCTCATTAAGAGAATTGGCTGTGCTTGATATAATAACCCTTCATTATAAAATTCTAAAGATCCAAAAATCATTCTCTTGATTTCAAGTATATATTTTCTGGTTCATAAATTAAAAAGAAATAACATACTATTTTAAATCTTTAATGTAAGTTTTAACTTTTTACTTTTTCAGCAAAATCTTAAAAATTTGAAAAGTCTTGACTTGTTTAACTGTGAGATCACAACCTTAGAAGATTACAGGGAGAGTATTTTTGAACTGCTGCAGCAAATCACCTACTTAAATGGATTTGATCAGGAGGATAACGAAGCACCAGACTCAGGATCAGAGGATGATGAGGGTAATCATTCGTAATACTCATAAATGTGCCACAATTATAGACTTCATGCTAGCCATGCACATTAGATTGGGCATGAATATTTAGGTGTAGAAAAAAAAGATGTTGGTAAGACAAGAAACATTTAAAAATGCACAGCCCTAATTCTGTATTTCTTTAGATTTCTGATAGCTTTGGGGGAATTTAATGATTATTATATCAAGCTCCTCGTAATTTTATATCTGTAAAAACCAATCAGTAAAAGTGGCAATTTTTATTTATTTATTTATTTGCAAATTTTAAAATAGTACTTAAAACAAAAATAAGCCCTGGCCGGTTTGGCTCAGTGGTTGGAGCATCGGCCTGTGGTCCAGAGAGACCCAGGTTCAGTTCCCGCTAAGGGCACGTACCTCGGTTGCATTTTGTCCCCGGCCCTGGTTGGGTTGTGCAGGTGGCAACCACTCAATGTGTCCCTTTCATGTCGATGTTTCTCTCTTTCTCTCTCCCCCTCCTACTCTATCTGAACAAAAAATGGAAAAATGTCCTCAGGTGAGGATAAAAAACAACAACAATCCATTCATCACAGTATTATCTATAATAGCCACAAAGTAGAAACAACTCATATCCAGCCCTTAATAAATGGAAAAACAAAATGCGATATATCTATACAGTGGAATAATATTCAGCCATAAAAATGAATGAAGTACTGGTACCTTAGTGAACCTTGAAAACGTTCTACTAAGTTAAAGAAGCCAGATACAAAAGGCTACATATTGTATGACTCTCTATATTGAAATGTCTAGAGTAGGCAAATTTAGAGAGACAAAGTAAATTAGTGGTTGCCGGGGTGGGGGGTGAGGAGAATGGTGACTAACTAATGGATTTGGGTTACTTTGGGGGTGATGAAAATGTTCTAGAATTAGATGGTGAATATATATTTTTGGAAAAATGGGTACGAACGGATGACAAAATAGCTGTTATTAGTAATGGGACACTTTATTACTACTACTTTAAAAGAATTTGGTGGATAAGCAATGTTACAAAATGTAGAATGATAGACAAGCAGGTTTTGAACTGTCCACAAAGTAAAACAAACTTTAGTACATGTAACATTTTGATGAAAATCTATATGTTGGAAAATTTTCAGTATTTAGAAACCGTATTTTTCAAATAGTAAATATGGATGTTGTAAAGGTGACATTTTAAAAAATCACCCTGAAGTACTTCCCACCTATTGGCTTAAGAGTTTAAAATGATTGGGGCAAGGGTTAAAAGGATCAACACATTATCAAGATATTTGCCCAGTCATTTGCCCATCTCTGAAACTATTTTTAAAGATGGAGATGAAGATGATGAAGAGGAAGATGAAGCTGGTCCATTTGAAGGATATGAGGAAGAGGAGGAGGAGGAAGAAGAGGATGAGGATGAAGATGAAGCAGGCTCCGAATTGGGAGAGGGAGAAGAGGAAGTGGGCCTCTCATACTTAATGAGAGAGGAAATTCAGGTAAGCAGACCCTTCTTATGTGCACTTAAAAATCAATTATTTAGGCATAGGGCTAAGTACTATAAAAAGTAAGGTATGTAGAAAGCTGAGTTATTGTTATTTCTAACTTGTGGGGGTACATGTGTCTGTCTGCCTGTTCTCTCCCCCCCCCCCCCCGCACTATCCCCAGTTCATACTATATCCAGATAATCATAAACATCTATTGATTTTATCTCCCAGAAATCTTTCAAACACATTCTGCCCTCAGTGGCATGTTATGGTGGAAACATTTTACAACTATTTCTGAGCCTCAGCTTCTGCATTTATGAAACCTAGATTATACCAACCTCATAGAATTGTTTTAAGGATTTAACAAAATAATACACGTAAAGTATCTAGTTGCTGGCACATTATAGGCACTCAAGAAAACTTTCCTGTGATTGTTTCTTGCTTGTGCTTTTATTTTTAATCCTCACCGGAGGACATGCTTAGGGAGAGAGAGAGACAGATCAATCGGCCACCCTCCATACGCTCCTAAGAACATGAATCAAACCTCACACCCAGGAATACACCCCAACTGGGAATCCAACTGGCAACTTACAGGTGCAACGGGATGATGCCCAACCAATAGAGCCAGAGCCAGGCCCTTGCTGTGCTTTTGTTGTAGCTTTCTAAATGCTCTGAATACAGCATCACTACTAAGGTGCATCCTTCCCAGTGCTTGCTTTCATAGTCTGAATGCAAGTGTGATCCTATCACTCGCCTGCCTGAAACCCTTTAATGTTTCTCTGTTGCCACTAAGGCACACAAGGCCCTTCATTATCTAGCCCCTGCTTCCTTCTCTGGCTGTATCTCCCTGGATACCAAATTAAATTGTCACACAAGGCTATTTCTTGCCTTTCTGTCTGTGTATAATCTGAGTATTCTATTAATATAGAGTAAGCAATGTATAAAATACATTGTTTATCTGAAATGGCTTTGTACACATGCCCTCTGATAAACTTTCTTTTTTTCTTGGGTAAACATATAGTAAAACATGTAAAGTGCACTGATTTTATGTATAAGTCCATGACAAACATTTTTTAATCCTCATCTGAGGATATATATTTTTTAAATTTATTTTTAGAGAGCGAGAGAAAGAAAAAAAGATGTAAGAGAGAAACATCGATTGGTTGTCTCTCCTACGTGCCCCTACCACCCTGACCAGAGATCAAATCCACAACAGGTGATGCTCCAACCAACTAAGCCATACCAGCCAGGGCAAGTCCGTGGAATTTTACGTATGTTTATATTTGTGTAGCCACACAAATCATACCTCATGAAGTCTTACCTTTAAAAGCTCAACTGTGGAGTTGCCTCAATATTGAAGCTTTTTATAATTTTTTGTAGACAATCACCTCTTTCTCTGTTACCTTTGAACCTTGATTAGGCTTTTATTACTTGTAGACACTTTTGTAGAAACGTGTTTATTTGGCTATGTTGTGCTAGATGGTGAGATCTTTAAGGGGAGGGAGGGCCATTCAGCCTTGTATCTCAGCATCCAGTGTATTTACTGGGACATAATAGGCTCACAGGAAATGTCAGATCTTTTAACTCCTGGGAGTTTATATAAGCTATTTTCTCCTAATGTTAATTTATTGAATTTCATTTTCATAATTTATAATTCAAACAAGTTTTTAATTAAAAAATAATATCTGCCCTGGCTCATTTGGCTCAGCAGTTAGATTGTTGGCTGAGGACCAAAGGGTCTCAGGTTTGATTCCTGGTCAAGGACATGTACCTGGGATGCGGGTTTGATCCCCGGTCCCTGCTGGGGTCATGTGGAAGGCAACCTATCAACATGTTCCTCTCTCATCTCTGTTTCTCTCTCTCCCTTTCACTCTCTCTCTTTTTTTTTAATCCTCACCCGAGGGCATTTTTCTATTTTTTGTTCAGGTAGAGTAGGAGGGAGAGAGAGAAACATCGATGGGAAAGGAACACATCGAATGGCTGCCACCCGCATGACTGACCAGGGCGGGGGACAGACTGCAACCGAGGTACGTGCCCTTAGCAGGAACCGAACCCGGGTCTCTCTGGACCGCAGACTGACGCTCTAACTGCTGAGCCAAACCAGCCAGGGCTGTCTTAAAAAAAAGAATTAATGGAAAAATATCCTCGAGTGAGGATTAACAACAACAACAAAAATAATAAAATAATATTTAGACTAGAAATTGTTAATATTCTCACTTGTTTTCCTAATGATTCACATTTGTTAGATAGATGATATCACTGATTAATGGTAATTTTTCTCTGATACTGTTTTAAATATAAAACTTGTGGGATAAAATAGGACTCATACTTGTTTGGGCCCTTAGTGAGTTAGGAGCTATACAATCATGATGAATAGAACTTTTAAGTATTTTATTTTACTGTTATTTAAAAAAATATGTTCTCATTGATTTTTAGAGAGAGAGGAAAGGAGGAGAGTCAAACCCGAAACCCGGGCATGTACCCTGACTGGGAATTGAACCAGTGACCTATTGTTGCATGGGTCGATGGTTAACCACTTAAGCCAGAAGTATTCATAGAAAAGGGCAACGTGTTCAGTTTACATCAGCATACAACTTGAATATTTTTTCCCTAAATTTCAATTTATTTAATAAAATAATTAACTTGTGTTATTTTGCCTTTGGCTTTTAATTTGCCAGTAGTTCTTCTTTAGATAGAACTAAGTGATTTAAAAGTGATCTTCAGCTAACTGCAAATATTTATATGTTCATTATTCCATTAATATTGGGAAATACTAACTAAAAATGACATGGTTAAGTATAGAGCGAGAATCTCTAAGTTAATACATATAACATTAAGTCAATATAGTACCCAGGTAGCAGGGACCAGAAGAAGTTTTTAATGACGATGAGATAATTTGGATGTTTAAAATGAAGTCTTGTTTTTAGAAATTACGAGCCAGTGGAAGTGTCAGAGACTTCTGAGATTTAGAAACAAATTAGAAGGAAATAGAAATGGTATTTGATTAGCTATTTTTTGTTTGAACCCTTTTTATTTTATTTTAATCCTCACCTTAGGATATATTTTTATTAATTTTAGAGAGAGAAGAAGCAGGAGAGATACAGAGAGAGACATCAGTGTGAGGGAGAAACATCTATTGGTTGTTTTCGGTTCACGCCCTGACGGAATCTAACCGAATTCTAGGTATGTGCCCTGACTGGGAATCAAACCGGAAGCCTTTTGGTGTATTGGATAATGTCCTAACCAACTGAGCCACCTGGCCAGGGCAGTATGAATCTTATTTCTGTTTCAGTTGCTCTTCAACAATAGGGAATATGTATGAAGACTTTATGTAGGTATAGCATATTTCATTTAAAATGGGGCCCTGGCCCTGGCTGATTTGGCTCAGTGGTTGGAGCATGGGCTTTCGGACAGAGGGTTGAGGGTTTGATTCCTGGTCAAGGGCGCGTAGGTGGGTTGCAGGTTTGTTCCCCAGCCCTGTTGGGGGGGTCGTATGGAAGGCGACCAATTAGTTGGTCTCATATTCATATTTCTCTCTGTTTCTCCCTCTCTCCCTTCCATTCTGTCTAGAAAGCAATGGGAAAATATCCTTGGGTTAAGATTCAAGCAAACAAACAAACAAACAAACAAAATGGGGCCCTGGCTGGTTGGCCCAGCAGTTAGAGCATCGGCCTTCAGACCAATGAGTATGGGGTTCGATTCTAGTCAGGGGCATGTACCTCGGTTGCCATTTGTCCCCGGCCCTGGTCGGGGACAGCTGATGTATAGAAGGAATCCAGTTGATGTGTCCCTCTCACGTCAATGTTTCTCCCTCTCCCTTACTCCTACTCTATCTGAAGATAAATAGAAAAATATCCTCGGGTGAGGATAAAAAAATTGGGGAAGGTGCCTGTCCAATGTGGCTGAGTGGTTGAGCGTCAACCCATGCACCAAGAGGTTGCTGGTTTGATTCCCGGTCAGGGCACAACCCAGGTTGTGGGCCAAATCCCCAGTGGTGGGCATGCAAGAGGTGGCCAGTCGATGCTCTCTGTCATTGATGTTTCTATCTCTCTTCCTCTCCCTTCCTGTCTGTCCCTCTCCCTTCCTCTCTCTCTAAAATAAATAAATGAAAAAAATTGAAAAATAAAAAGTACTTAAAAAAAATAAAAATGGCCCTGGCCAGTTTAGCTCAGCGGTTAGAGCGTTGGCCTGTGGTCCTGAGAGACCTGGGTTTGGTTCCTGCTAAGAGCACGTATCTTGGTTGCAGTTTGTACCCGGGCCCTGGTTGGGTCATGTGGGTGGCAACCACTCGATGTGTCCCTTTCACGTCGATGTTTCTCTCTCTCTCTCTCTCTCTCCCTCCCACTCTATCTGAACAAAATATGGAAAAAAATGTCCTCAGGTGAGGAAATAAATAAATAAATAAATAAATAAATAAATAAATAAATAAATAAAATTTAAAAAACTGGGGAAGGTGGCTTCGGAATTGGGAATTATGGTGCTCTTGTACTATTCATAGTACAAATGAGGAAACATTTTATTTCCCACTAATTAGGAAGAGACCAGAGTCTTCACAGAACAAGTTTCTGGTGGTCTAATAGATTATTATTACTACTATTTTTTTAAGTTTCAGCCTTGGCCACTGTGGCTCAGTTGATTGAGTGTCTTCCCATGCACTGAAAGGTCACTGGATGGATTCCTGGTCAGGGCACATGCCCAGGTTTCGGGTTTGATCCCCAGTCGAGGTGCTTACAAGAGGCAACTGATCAGTTTTTCTCTTATATTGATGTTTCCCTCTCCCTTCCTCTCTCTCTAAAAATCAATAAAAACATTTTAAAAGTTTATAAAAAGTTAAAAAGAGACATAAAAACATGATTCAATTAATGTACTTATATTTTCTTTCTTTTTGCTTAATCCTCACTGAGGATATTGGTTTTTAAAGAGAGTGGAAGGGAGGGAAGGAGAGAGAGAGAAAGAGAGAAAGAAACAGAAACATCGATGTGAGGGAGACACATCGGTTGGTTGCCTCCCACAGCCCCTACCAGGGCCAGGCAACCCAGGGCACGTGCCCTTGACCAGGAATTGAACTGGTCAACCACACCAGCCATGGCTAATCATATTTTCTTTAAAACAAATTCCAGAGAACTAATTAGCTTTTTAGACTTGGGCTTTTGTAAATTATCAAGGAATAAATGTGATTTGTATCTCACGTGTTTTAAATATCTTCTTTTATCATTCCTTACAGATTTAAGATGTTTAAAATGTTTCTTCTCTCTTTCTCCTTTCCTCGTTTACTCTCTCTTCCCTTCCTCTTCTCTCATCTTTCTCCTCTTTTCTATACCCCCCTTTCTCTTCCTTTCTTTTATTTTTGTCTTTAGTTCAAAGCTGCAGGTTCTCCTGATTTTTATTATAGTTCCTTTTTGTGCTGTTTGCTACCCCATATTCCTTCTGTTCCTTGTAGCTTGGTGGTATTCTGGTATGGAATGCTTTACAATGTTTCTGTTAGCTAAATGCTGGGGAATTAGGTTCTTTCTAGTATTTCTAGACACAAATGGAGCTGTGGATACTGTGATAAGTATGTGTCTTCCAAATTTTCCCTAACTACCCAGCAGTTCTTGACATTTGCCAATGAAAGTATTTTAAAGGAGCAATAAACTTTTTTTTTTAATTCTCACCCGAGGACATTTTTCCATTTTTTTTGTTCAGATAGAGTGGGAGGGAGAGAGAGGAAGAGAGAGAGAGAGAGAAACATCGATGTGAAAGGGACACATCGAGTGGCTGCCTCCCGTACTACCCAACCAGGGCCAGGGACAAACCTCAACCATACGTGCCCTTAGTGGGAACCGAACCCGGGTCTCTCTGGACCACAGGCCGATGCTCTAACCTCTGAGCCAGACCAGCCAGGACAGGAGCAATAAACTTTTGTGGGGTTGGAGGGGAGACCATAGATTGGTTCCATTTTTTTTCAACATATAGTAGAACTCAGCCATTTGGAACATAGTTAACAACAAAGCAGTAAGTATAAAAGGCCTCCAAGTAATCAAAATAAAAGTAACAAGACATTTTCTTTGTAGGATGGTGTTCAGGCTATTACTTTAAAGCTATTTTTTTCTCTCTCTCTTTTTTTAAATCCTCACTCAAGGATATTTTCCCACTGATTTTCAGATATAGAAGGAAGGAGGGAGGGAGTGAGGGAGGGAGAAAGTGAGAGAGAGAGAGAGAGAGAGAGAAACATCAATGTGAGAGAGATGCATCGATTGGTCCCTCCCACACAATCCTGACCAGGGCCAGGGATCGAACTGCAACCAAGGTATGTGCCCTTGACAGCAGTTGAACCTGCAACTTTTTGGTCCTCGGGCCACACTCTAGCTGCTGAGCCAAACTGGCCAGGGCCCTATTTTCTCTTTTATATTCAATCCTCTGATAAGTTTGTTGATCTATTTTCTAAATCCATAGCAGATTAAAATAGAAATAGTAACTGATGCAAAAGACAAAGCATCAAAACTAGAAAAAGATACAACTCAAAATATAAGCCAGGGTCATTTTCAAAATGGGAAAACCATCCTACATGTATTACTATGTTCTGAGGGAACTGGCTTATAGTTCATGATCAGAATGGTGACTATGATAATTCAAGAAAAAAATTTGTTAGGTTTAGCAGAAAATGGTGGAAGAGTGCAGTGCTCTTTTGAGATTTCTATCCCAGTTGGCTAAAGTGAAAAAAATCTGGTGTTGATGTTTCAAGACTATATTTAAATCTTAGCTCTCCAAAACAACTCATTCCACAAGAGTTGTAGATCAAGTTTATTGTGATTTTAATTGACATTTGCTATTTTTATATGTAGAGTTTTATTTTTAAATATGTTTTTATTGATTTTTTTGAGAGAGAGATAGAAACATTGACGGGAGAGAAAAACATTGATCAGTTGCCTCTTGCATGCCACCCATTGGGGATCGAGCCTGCAGGTGGGGGATGTGCTTTGACTGGGAATCGAATCTGTCAGTCCATGGGACTATGCTCAATCTACTGAGCCACATTGGCTGGCTTGATACATAAATTTTTAGATGTATAAGGAATTTATAGATCTTTCTAGACAAATATTTTCTTTTATTGATTGGAAAACAGAGGTCCAGAGAGTAAGTGACATGTTCAACACATTGAACTGTGTTGGGGCCAGGATTCAGGTAATTCCTACCATAGTGTATAAAGTTCTTGAAGACACTGTAAGACAGAGCACCCTCTCCATTATAGTAGCCATTTGGCCATTTAAATTAATTAAATTTCAATAAAATTATAAATTTAGCTCCTTTGCATCAGTCACACTTCAAATGCTCAGTAGCCATGTGTGGCTAGTGGTTACTAGATGGTACAGTACAGACAGTGACATTTGCATCGTTGCCATGTTTGAACATTGCTGGTCTAAAACAACTTATTTTCATAAAGAAACTAGATTTAGTTGGGTTTTTAAAAAGATCGTATATATGTCACACAGAGGTTATCAGAACATGGAATAGCCATAGTTTTGTGGGGTTTTTTTGCTGTTGTTAGAATGTATTATCAAAATGGAAAATCTGTGTCATGGCTCATTTATTCTCAAACTGAATATTTTAATTTCAAGGATGAAGAAGATGATGATGACTATGTCGAAGAAGGGGAAGAAGAAGAAGAAGGAGAAGGAGAAGAAAAAGAAGAAGAGGGTGAGTTATATTAGCCATAAAAATATTCTAAAATTATAGTCATAGCTATTCATGGACTTTATTTTATTTATTTATTTATTTATTTATTTATTTATTTACTTACTTACTTACTTATTTATTTTTTTGTGGTACATGCCCCTAGTGGGAACCGAACCCGGGACTCTCTGGTCTTTAGGCTGACACTCAACCGCTGAGCCAAACTGGCCAGAGCTATTCATGGACTTTAAAGAATGAGTCTATAATTCAAAATTATTACTGATCTCTTGGATTTGGGCAACATAGAATTGGCTTGAAAGGTATAAACTTTTTAAAAGTAATTTCTCAGGGTATTCATGAATTCCAATTAAAAAACAGCTTGTAACATTTATTTTCAAAGTAGGAATGGATAATGGATCTTTGAGCTCAGTTTATTATTTTTTCAGGGTCTTACATTTTGGAGAAGATGAAGCTTTCTCTAGAAAGGAAGAACAGTTGAACTCAATAATGCCCTTTTTAGATTTGCTCTCTGGTACTCTTTACCAAGGTCTTTCAAAATAAATTTTAAAATTCACTAATAATTCTATTAATATCAAGCCCTTAGTTCCTTTCTTCTTTTTAAATTTTTAATTTTTTAAATTTATTTTTGTTCCAGATGTTTCTCCTTTTTCCCCATTGACACCCTCTCCTGATCCCCCCCACCCTGTCCCCAGCATTGTTGTCTATGTCCATGGTTGTGCATACATGCATATAAGTTCTGTGCTTTATCTCACCCCCCCTTTTCTGAGGTTTGTCAGTCTGTATCCTACTTCTATGTCTCTGGGTCCGTTTTGTTCATCAGCATGCTTTATTCATGATATTCCACAAATAAGTGAGATCATGTGATATTTTTCTTTCTCTGGTTGGCTGTTTCGCTTAGGATAATACTTTCCAGGTCCCTCCATGTCGTCTCAAAGGATAAGAGATCTTTCTTTCTTACAGCTGCATAGTATTCCATTGTGTATATGTACCACAGCTTTCTTATCCACTCATCTATTGATGGACACTTGGGCTATTTCCAGATTTTAGCTATTGTAAATATTGCTGCTTGGTGATTGGTGTTTGAGGCTTCTTAGGGTATATTCCTAGGAGTGGGGTCACTGGGTCAAATGGCAGTTCAATTTTTTGAGGTAACACCATAGTGTTTTCCATAGTGGCTGCACCAGTCTGCACTCCCACCAGCAGTGTACTAGAGTCCCCTTTTCTCCACACCCTCGCCAGCACTCGTTGTTTGATTTGTTGATGGCAGCCATTCTGACAATTGTATCAACAGTGAGGTGATATCACACTGTTGTTTTAATTTGCATCTCTCTGATGACTAGTGATGTTGAGCATTTTTTCATATGTCTCTTGGCCATTTGTATGTCCTGTTTGGAGAGGTGTCTCTTTAGGTCCTCTGTCCATTTTTTAATTGGATTATTTGTCTTTTGTTGAGTTGTATGAGTATATTTTTGGAAATTAACCCTTTATCTGATGTATTGTTGGCAATTATGCTCTCCCATATAGTGGGTTCTTTTCATTTTGATGGCTATTTCTTTTGCTGTGCAGAAGCTTTTTTTTTTTCAAGGTCAAGCAGATAGTTTATTGAAAAGATCTTGTGCACAGGGAGTGGACTAGAAAAGAGAAGTCACCCTCCCTGAGAGTTCTGATGGATGACTTATATAGGGGCCTCAGGGAGGGTGCAGGGCTTGGAATGAGGATGAGGTCAGTTGTCCCCTGATCTTTGGTTGTTCTTGGAGTCATCACAAGGTGTTCTTCATGGTCAGTGGACCACTCAAGGGGCCTGGGGCTCTGGTAGAGGGAGGGAAGACTGGACTGGAACTGTGTGGGGACACTTGGGATTTGGAGGGTGCTCAGAGCTTTGCTCAGTTGTGGCCACACAGGACTGTGGTCATCTTACTCCTTCCCAGGGCTCTGGGGAGAGGTGGTGGTCCTACCCTCCTGTGCAGAAGCTTTTTAGTTTGAAGTCCCATGTGTTCATTTTTTCCTTTGTTTCTGTAGCCTTAGGCATTGTATCAATGAAAATTCTGCTGCGTGTGATGTCTGAAATTTTGTTGCCTACATTTTCTTCTAGGATTTTTATGGATTCATGAGTCACATTTAAGTCTTTTATCCATTTTGAGTTTATTCTTTTGTATGGTGTAAGTTGGTGGTCTAGTTTCATTTTTTTGCATGTAGCTGTCCAATTTTCCAACATCATTTATTAAAGAGGCTGCTGTCTTGCCTCCACTGTATGACTTTGCCACCTTTGTCAAATATTAAGTGAGCATAATGACTTGGGTCAATTTCTGGGTTCTCTGTTCTGTTCCATTGATCTATATACCTGTTCTTGTGCCAGTACCAGGCTGTTTTGATTACAGTGGCTTTGTAGTATAACCTGATATCTGGTATTGTGATCCTTCCTACTTTGTTATTCTCTTTCTTTCTTTCTTTCTTTCTTTCTTTCTTTCTTTCTTTCTTTCTTTCTTTTTTTCTTTTTTTTTATCCTCACCCGAGGACATTTTTCCATTTTTTGTTCAGATAGAGTGGGAGGGAGAGAGAGAGAGAAACATCGAAGTGAAAGGGACACATTGAATGGTTGCCACCCGCACAGCCCTACCAGGGCCGGGGACAAACTGCAACCGAGGTACGTGCCCTTAGCAGGAACCAAACCCGGGTCTCTCTGGACCTCAGGTCAACACTCTAACCGCTGAGCAAAACTGGCAAGGGCTGTTCTTTTTCAAGATTGCTGTGGCTTATTCGGGGTCTTTTTTGGTTCCATATAAACTTTTGGAGCATTTGTTTTAGTTCTGTGAAATATGTCATTGGTATTTTGATGGGGATTGCATTGAATCTGTAGATTGCTTTGAGTAGTATGGGCATTTTAATGATGTTAATTCTTCCAATCCATGAACAAGGTATATGCTTCCTCTTTTTTATATCTTCCCCTATTTATTTTTTCAATGACCTGTGTAGTTTTTTACAAAGAGGTCCTTGACTTCGTTGGTTAAGTTTATTTCTAGCACTTAAATTTTTTTTGTGCTCTGGTAAATGGGATTTTTTAAGTTTTTCTATGAGTTTGTTGTTGGTGTATAAGAATACCATCGATTTCTTGACCTTAATTTTGTAACCTGCTACTTTGCCAAATTCATTTATTAGTTCTAGTAGATTTTTGATGGAGTCTTTAGGGTTTTCTATGTACAATATCATATCATCTGCCAGTTTCACCTCCTTTGTTCCAATTTGGATTCCTTTTATTCTTTCTTCATGTCTGATTGCTGTGGCTAAGACTTCCAGTACTATGTTAAGTAAGAGTCAGCCCTTAATTTTTTTATCTGTACTTCATGATTTGGCCACAAGGATGCATAGCAAGCTGCCATTATTTATGGATTTCTAAGTATGAGCTTGATTCAATACACTGAAGTGAAAAGAAATTTAGAGAGGAAACTTAACCTATAATTTTCTTATGCCATTAACTTTTCACTAAAATAGATTCAAATATTTTTAACTTAACAAATATTTGTTAAAATTTAGTATTTTATACTTTTCCTTTCACTCTTCTTTCAGAAGAAGAAAGTGTTCGAGGGGAAAAGCGGAAACGAGATGCTGAAGATGATGGAGAAGAAGAAGATGACTAGATCATTCTAAGACCAGATTCCCTAAGTTCCTGGGTGTGCAATAGAGTGGTCACATCTTATTTCTTCATGTATAATAGCTATCCCTACAGAAGATAACATGTAATTTTTATAGGAAAAGTGTGGTTTTACTATTTTTGCCTTATCATTCCAAATAAGATTTACTAGTCTGTTAATGATCACATTGTATGTAGAAAAATTTTCATTGACCCCATTATAAAATTCCCTAGCAATTTTTTTAGAATCTTAATTTTTCTAATATAAGTTTACTGTATTAGTCATTTTTAGCCCATAATTAAAACATGATAGCATAGTATGGGGCATTTTATTCATAAGGTTTTAAAGTTATTTATGAATTAAGTGAAATCACAGTCAGCTGGAATATGAAATAAAAATAGTCTCTTGAATGATAAGTTGGTTATTTTTTTCGAGGTGACCCAAAGATCTTTAGTATGAAGGCAATGGCTTTTTTTTTGGCTAAGGATTTTTGGGTGCTTATTTGTCACATGAGTAACTTGGAGAGTAGGAGCAGAATAGTAAAGGTTCTATTCAACAGTATAGTTCATGACTTTTGGGAGGCTTCTGAAACCTTTCACGCCAGGTGACTAATAAGATTTTCTTTTTGAAGGAAAAACTGCTTATAGTAAGTTCAGAGACATACAGGTAAACCCTTTGTTCTCAAGCTGAATGAAGATCATGACATGCTAATAGTTGTTTATTTTGTTTAGTTTTTCAGTGTGCATTTTGCATTTTCTTTTCAGCAATTCCTTTACGATACCTTCCTTTCTTGTTTCACTCCTCCCTCTTCTCAAAAAAAAAAAAAAGTTGGGACATTTATGAATACCCAGGAAAATCTTTATTCTTATACCTCAACTACCTTTTCAGACCTGTCTCAGTTTTTAAAAAGCTAAGTGAAACAAACTGAGTATTTTCTGAGATACAAATATTATTATCAATGCAGTTTTATGCAACAGACTCTGCTTACTGGAAATCTTTCTTGGTTGACAAGATGTATAGATTGCAGAAAAATGAAGAAAGAAAAGAAGCAGATGGGCTTTTGGAAGCAGCAGTAGTGTTCCTCAAAACTCAGAATAATTGCTGGTTGATAATTAATGAGACATTCAAGTCAAATTTTTTTTTTTGGTGGCATGTGCCCCTAGCTGGAACCGAACCCAGGACTCTGGTCCATAGGCCGATGCTCAACCACTGAGCCAAACCGGCCAGGGCTCAAGTCAAAATTTTAAGTTAGCTTCCCAAATGACTTAGCTACCCCTCTGCAAGTATCTCTAATTTTTCTTAGTAGAACCTTTAATTATTCTTTCTATAATTTAAAGCATTACCAGGTAGAGCATTTGACTGGAATATATTAGGCAGTGGGAAAAATATTTAAAACTAAATCCTTATTAAAATTAAGATTTGTTTTCAAGTGGATGTCCATTAAAAGTAGAAAAATATTTGGGGAAAGTATGAGTGTGTTTTCTTATACGGCTACTAATTATGAGTAGACAAGTTCATTTCCCTTTTTGTTGTGGAGGCTCCATGTTCAAGGCAATTGCTTTTTTAATCTTGGCTCTCTAACCACCACCCCCCCCCCCACTCCCTTTGTTTTGAATACTTGTAAGTTTTTTTAAGTTAGTGTCAGCAAATTAACTGAAGTTACAATTCCATACTGGGACAAATTTAAGTTACTGAGTATAGTACTGCTTGTTTTTTAGTTTAAAAATGTATGACTTGGGGTTTTAAAGTAAAAATTAGAGTTATTTGTAGATAAACAAAAAATGTTGCACAACTGACTGAAATAAAACTCTTGGGATAACTTTAGTGGGGGGATTCAAGTATCCAAATAGTTAACATTTTACTCCTTTTAAACAATTGACATGCCCTAAGAATTCTCATCACATTGTTTGCCAGATTATAAAATACTTTTTAAAATTAAATTTATATATTGACTTTCTTATCAATCATCATATTGTGCAATCAAAATTAAGAGTTCTTTGGTTTGTTTGAACAATGTGTAAGAGCCTCCAAATAACTTTTTAAGACTTATTTAGCTTTGTGGGTGATATTTTCATGCAAATAAGTAAGGGTGGGTTTTATATTTTGTAGAAGTTTTCGGTCCTATTTTAATGCTTCTTTGTATGGCAGTATGTATATAGTGTGTTAAATTCCTCAAAACTCCTCAAAAACCTTTGAAGTTAATACTTTTGTGCAACTGTGTTTTGAATAAAGCCATGACAGTGTTAAAACAAACAAAAACACAGTACTTCTGATTATTCTTTTATTGTTTCTGACTGTTCCCTGTTTTTTGTTTTTTTTTGTGACTGCTGTAACTTAAAGGTTTTGAAATTGAATTGCTTCAAATAAATTGAAGGTTTGTTGTTAATGATTAGTTTCAAGTGTATGATAATTCACTTTTTTTTTTTTTATCCTCACCCGAGGACATTTTTTTCGTTTTTTGTTCAGATAGAGTGGTAGGGAGAGAGAGAAACATTGACGTGAAGGGGACACATCGAGTGGTTGCCACTGGCACGACCCAACCAGGGCCGGGAACAAACTGCAACCGAGGCACATGCCCCTAGGGGGAACCAAATTCAGGTGTCTCTGGATCGCAGGCCAATGCTCTAACCGCTGAGCCAAACCGGCCAGGGCGAGAATTCACTTTTGAGCATCGCCATTGGAGGCATTGAATATCTTTTTTATAAAAAACTGAGAAACAGCTTGAAAGTTAACTCATCTAGCCCGGCTGGTGTGGCTCAGTGGTTGAGCATCAACCCGTGCACCAAGAGGTTGCCTGTTTGATTCCTGGTCAGGGCAAATGCCCAGGTTGTGGGCCAATCCCCACGAGGTGGCCTATTGATTTTTTCTCATTGATGTTTCTATCTCTCTCTCCTCCCTCCTCTAAAATCAATAAAGGAAAAAAAAACAAAGAAAGTTAACTCATTTAAACACTTGGATGTGATATGAGGCATTACAAGTTAATAGTTTAACTCATGATTTGCCTTAGTAATTTTTTTCCAAGAAAAAAATACTGGATTTTCTTAATTTTACTTTTGGAGTTGCAAATTGAGCCCAGTGCCTTTTGTATTTTGATTTGAAGTTATAATTTTATTACCTACAGTTGAAGTGACTATGATCTATAGTTAACTAAAGTTATTATAAATCTATTGTACAATTGTTTTCTAAAATGGGTCCAAACTCTTTATTTATATTGTATGTTTACCTTCAAACTCCTTAGATAATCTCAATAACATAATTCTTGCATGTTTACCTTGAGTAAATCAAACCTGAACCAAATTGGTTGTGATAAGTAGTTTTTAAAATGTTTCATTTGGCCTGGCTCGTGTGACTCAGTGGTTGAGTGTCGACCCATGCACCAAGAGGTCACCAGTTCGATTCCTGGACAGGGCATATGCCCAGGTTGTGGGCCTGATATCCAGTGGGGGGCATGCAGGAGGTGGCCAATCAATGTTCTCTCTCACTGATGTTTCTCTCTCTCTCTTTCTCTAACATCAATTAAAAAAAAAGTTTCATTTGTAGGCAACTCTGGAATGTATTTGTTGTTATTAATCCTTGCCTGAGGATGTTTTTTTCCATTGATTTTTTTTTTTTTTTTTGAGAGAAACATTGATGTGAGAGAGACACATGGATTGGTTGCCTCCTGCGCGCCTGACAAACTTGGGATTGAACCTCTAACCCAGGTACATGTCCTTGATGGGGAATCAAACTGGAGATCCTTTGGTGCCCAGGCCGATGCTCTAACCACTGAACTCAGGGCTGGAATGTATTTTATCAAATTAAGGCACAAGTATAATGTTAAGTAATGTTTTTGTGATTGCTATACAGTTTAATATTGAAAAGGTATTTTAATTATGTAACTGCTTCCTGAAGAGATGGAAAATATTGAAATATATTCCAAATACAGGAATTGTTTATTGAAATTAGAAGGGTATTTTTTGTTTTGTTTTAATCTTTAAAAATTTCAAAGCCTTTTCCTTCTTGGTTAAAGGAAATGGTAGAACTACTAAGTTTTTGATGGAAGTGATGTAGATAATGAAGCAATTCTGCGAGAGATTGTAATTCAAAACACTATTAAGTATTATTCATTCCTTGTTCTATATTTTGAAGAAAGGCTTTTGAACATAGGACATTTATTTTCCCAATTGCTGAAAACTTCCCTTCTATTGCTCCTAGGACTGGATGCAATCATATTCGCAGCTGTTGCAGAAGGCTATATTCTGCTGTGTTCCTTATTCTTGTATTAATCAGACTAAGATTTGAGAGCCTGGCTTGGGTAATTTGTACCCAGGCAGCTACTTGTTTAATAGTCTTGGACAGCCCTAACTTGAAGGAGAACAGGTTAAACCACACAGTGGAAATTATAAAATGAGTTGATTTCCAGGAGAATCTTTAAAAAGACCATATACTGGTAAAATATTTTTATTTCATACAAAGTTAACCACTTTTTTGGGTGATAAGACCCTGAAGCAGGGTTTACCCTATAATATCAATTCTGATTCAGAAAGAAAAAGAAGTATGACTTTTAAAATTTTTGTTAAGGCATCATTTGCACCTGGTTACTTATGCAGTGAACACATCCACATTACTGGTCAATGATGGACACAGGCTACTAAATAGGCACAATATGCTGGTGAAAACAACCTATTTTAGATGTTCAAAAAGTTACTTTAACACTGTAAATACTTTCCTATTTCTTTGATTCTCCTATTAAAAAACTCAGACTGCACCATCTTGTAGATGAAGGCCATGATCTGTGCTCTCCACTTTAGCTGTGACTTTTCCTGAATAGAGTCCACAGCCCCATAATTAACTCAGAGAGGCCATTCTAGGTTTCTCCACTTGGAGGCATTTTCTCCCAGCATCTTTGCATTTTGGTTGGAGACCACAGCAGCAGGCTCAGTGGAACTCAATGTCATTGACAGCTGTGAGAAATACTTGCATTGGTAGAAGAATCTTGAAGTGTAATGGAACTGCAGTTAAAGCAACTAAACTTAACCAATGACAGCTGCACCAGAAGACACCAGCATCTGTAAGGGAAGCAGAAATCATTCACAGGGCAACTGGCAGAGAAGTCCGTGCAAGTCCAGGGCTTTTAGCTGTGCGCACACTCCCCTCTTTGGTTTTCTGAGAACATTCTGAGTTAAGAATGAACTCATCTGCAGTATTGAGGATTTATGTTTGTAGGAAATAAGTGAAATCTTTCTAAACAGGATTTCAGGTGAGGGGACTTATTATTTTTATCCAGCTATCTATATTGCAATTATATGGAGGGAAATTTCCTTTTATATTGTTTTGACATATTTGGCATTTTATCCTTTTGTACTATTGTTTGCTTCCCCGCTGCCAAGGTTCCTATGCTGTAACCTTCAGTACATGGATTAGAACTCTAGAATTAAGCCTCATCTGTTTTGCTTTTACCCCATTCCCTTCTCATTTCAAGGACTCCAGCCTTAAGGTTGAGTTTCTCTAAGTGCTTTTTTCCCCGTCACGCTCCTGTGGGGCGAACCAACCACACCATGCAGATAACCTTATCCTAGCATCACTACTCCAGATTCTTGATAGAAGGCTTGAATAAACCCACCGGGAGATTTTTACTTAAATGCTTAAGTTAGAATAAAGTATTCTTCTGGGATACATGTTTGATGTAAATTATGTGTCCTAGTCCTATGGGACACTTGCCTTTTTATTTATTATTTTAAAAAAATCCTTACCCGAGGATATGTTTCCATTGATTTTCAGATAAGAGTAGGAGGGAGGAAGGGAGGGAAAGAGAGAGAGAGGGAGAGAAACATCTAGGTGAGAGAGAGACACAACTGTTGCCTCCGCGGCGGGACCCCAACCGGGCAGGGGATGTAATTGCAATAGGGGTAAGAGCCCGTGACTATTTGGTCTGTGGGCCAAACCCGCCAGGGCGACACTTGCCTTTTTTTTTTTTTTAATCCTCATCCGAGGACATTTTTCCATTTTTTGTACAGACAGAGTGGGAGGGAGAGAGAGGAAGAGAGAGGGAAACATCGATGTGAAAGGGACACATCGAGTGGCTGCCACCCGCACGACCAACCAGGGCCGGGGACAAACTGCAACCGAGGTACATGCCCTTAGCGGGAACCGAACCCGGGTCTCTCGGGACCGCAGGCCAACGCTCCAACCGCTGAGCCAAACCAGCCAGGGCGACACTTGCCTTTTTAAACGTTTACCTTAATTTCCCCAAATCCTCAACTCTTGAGATATAAAGCAGTTTTTCCTTTTTTAGGATACAACAGGGCTCACTCCAGACTCAGTCTAACAGTCGGAACAGGATTTGAACGTCTTGGGGGGAGAGGAACAGAACTTAAATGGGAGACATGACAGTCTAGCTATTGGGGGGGGGGGGGCGGCGGAGAAATCAAAGGCACCACTTTAGCGTGGGCCCCTAATTAAAAAAAAAAAAATCTGTGACAGCCAAATTTTCAGCTTCTCAGAGACAGTTTGCTCACTCCGCCATCTTGAACGGAAGTCCCCTCGTGTACCCCGAATTCGACTTGGTGGATATAGGCTAAAAAGTTTGCCAAGCCAGATTCTGAGATTGAAGATGAGAGTCGAGAAGCAGGGAGATTAAAAGGGCCAGGACTGCGGACAAGCCTGGCTAACAAAGTTGCTCTGCCAGCGAGCTTTCTGAAACCCCAGGCTGCGCCGGAAGAGCTGCAGTCCAGGTCACGTACTCTCGCCCCTCCCTCCCAGCCCCAGATCAGCGACGGCAGGCGCGCGCGCAGCGCTCAGTCCGCGAGCTGCGCATGCGCCGGAGGTCCTGCGCCGGCGGTCCGCGGAAGGCTGTCGCTGTCCTCTGTCCGCTTCCCTTTTGCTCTTTCCAGCTAATGCACACTCAAACTGGCCTGTCAGGGCCTTGGGACCTCCCTTTTCTTAATACAGCCATCATTTAATGTTTTAGAGCTGTTTTCTTTTTCATTTAATTCCAAATATTGATTTATTCTTAGTTCTGCATTCATGAATACTATCCAATTTAGCAACTATGAGCGGCAGTGTATATGTACCTTTTCAAGATCAAGTGGAAATGTCATTGGCCTTAGGCCACTTTGCTTCTCAACCTCTTATCTGTCCTGCTTCTGGTTCAGGATAGCTCTTGGGTGGCCTTTGCTTCTTGTTTGTAGCCTGCTATTCCTTGTCGTTTCTATTCTCTGTCTTAAAGCCCGAATGGCTGGAATGATCTGAGGTTCAATAGTTCAGTCACGTCGGTGTCCAAGGACGAATCAATTCTGGAAGGTACATAGAGCAACCAACTACCCAGAAGGAAACCAATTAAAAAATGACATGCAGCCCACATGTAAAATGATAAAGAGGTTTAACATATGTAGGATCTTTCTCTTT